ATTTAGTAAGACTGCAATAGTTACTAGTAACTAATAAGTGCTAGTAGCTTTTAAATAGAGAGTAGTACGTTTGAAGGAATAAATGTTAAAACGGCTTGTTGTAGTTTTGTGTCCCGTCTCACTCGTTGTCATCGTTAACCCCTCCCCTCTCCTCCTCCTCTCGGCCAATCAGAGATGGTCGGGGCGTGTATCGGCGTCTTCCTGTTGGCGGTCCTGTACGAGGGGTTAAAGATGGGTCGTGAAGTGCTGCTGCGTCGCAGTCAGGTTAACGTACGCTACAACTCCATGCCGCTCCCAGGGGCCGATGGGACGGTGCTGATGGAGACGCACAAGACGGTCGGGTAGGTGGCTAATGCTAATGCTAACAACGACACGTGCACAACAGGAAGTGATTAGATGATTAGTAAATACTAATGATGAATGAAAGCCAACAAGGTAAACTCTGGGCTCTGATACATGCAGAAGTTTTGTCTTGTATCCGCTGCAGATACTTCAAATGTGCATTTTCACCTGGGATTAAACCATTTTCAACTGTAGAACAAAAAGTATAAACTCATAATTAAGTAAAGTAATGAATAAATAAAACTGGGCGATGTTTGACTTAGATTTCACAAAGTAATACACAAATGTTTAAAATTATATTATTTTGATATTAAAATAAACATTAGAAACAGAAATGTAAATATTTAATCTTACCGAATCAAGACGGCATTAAATTACGAAATAAAAATAACATAAATTATTTAAAATGTTTAAAAGTTCATAAGAATTTAAATTAAAGCTGCACCACTTTTCTAATATAATAGAAACACATTTCACACAAATATATAATATATTTAACAAAATGACTGAGAAGTCATAGGAAAATTATAAAAAATAGTATTTACTCGATAAAATAATTAGTTTTCAAAATTGATTATAGATCATTTCTGTGAAAAACTACTTGACTACAAATTAAAAACTACCTAAACTAAACAATAAAAAAAAAACTGATTAAATTTGATCATTTTCTGCATTTGAACATTAAGGATCGAAATCAAGGGAATTTATTTCATGAAGTAAATGTCTGAGGTTTCAGACTTAATAAAAAATGAAAATGAAGTTAAAAACAGCAACGTTTAAAGTTACTAAATAAACTAAATCAAATTACACATTTTCAATCAATAGAAAAACATCCACCAATATAAAGCAATGAAAAATCTATTAACTATAAATGCTGATTAATACAGAGCTGCTCTCGACCAGCCGAGCTCGGCTGTCAATGTGACGTAAATGTGATGTGTTCGGAGGGGCGGAGCTTCCTGTTGGACTAAAGTCCCGCCTCTCCGGACTCTCTCTCAGGTAACTGTAGAGTTCTGGTCGTGGTCCCTGGTTCTGGTCCTGGTCCTGGTTCTGCACCTGCTCTGTTGAGACTCTCAGACTGTCCAGGGCCAAAACGGATGAATGGTCCGTTCTGATGATGAATAATTGATGAGCATCAGCAGCTTCTGATTGGAGTGTCTATAATAATCCTCGTCAGAACTGAAATAAACGTCTTTTACAATCTGACGTCTTTCAGTTTCAAAATCCATAACAGAAAGTTTAAATTCAGCATTCAGGATTTTACTTTTTGTCCATCTGTGTAACAATGAAAACACTAAGCAGGACTTTGTTTGTTCCACCAAAATCCAGACATCTTTGAAACTTTTTAAAAAAGAGAAAATAAACGTCAGACGGGGACTTTCTGTTCTGCTCCCTCTCTGTCCTGCAGGTGGCGCTCTACTTTGTTAAGCTGTGTTCACTGTGTGTGGAGGAGGCTAAACAGGCTAACACTGAGGCTAATGCTAACATTAACTGTGACACAATGTAATTAAAAACTAATCAAATATTATATGGATGTAAAGAGATAATGCTAATGCTAACTCTGCTAAGTGCATTACATTTTCCTATGTTAGCTATAATGCTAATGCAACAGCGTGTATATGTAAACATGTTGCAATGCTAACACCAACAACACAATGAAAACTAATGCTAACATTGCTACAAATTCGTTTAGCCTCACGGTACAATTATTAGCTTGATTACTGTTAGCGTACCTAACTGTTAGCATTATTTGTTCTGTGACGACACACTTTATTATTCATTCCAGCTACATTATACTCTGTTTATATTGATTAAGTGTCTTTATGAGTAATAGTGCTAATGCTAAACGTAAAGCTAACATTAGCATCATGTAAAATGCTAACCACCTCCTCTCGTCCTCGCAGGCAGCGGATGCTAAGCCCCGCCCACTTCCTGCAGACCCTGTTGCACATCGTTCAGGTGGTCGTCAGCTATTTCCTGATGCTCATCTTCATGACCTACAACGCCTACCTCTGCATCGCCGTGGCAGCCGGCGCCGGCATGGGTTACTTCCTGTTCAGCTGGCGGAAGGCGGTGGTCGTCGACATCACCGAGCACTGCCATTAGCCAAGCGTGCTAGTTAGCATCGCGTCGGGAGGTTTGATTTCTGCTGATCACAATCAAGAAAACTCTAACACTTAGACTCTGTGTTAGCACGCTAGCCGACCTGGAACTACAAATGTAGTTCATAAAACGAGACACTAAACTACAGATGTCGCTAACATGCACACTAACGTCTGAAGTTAGCGATCAATAAATCCTCGTTTTGCAGAAAATGACAATTAATGTTTTTGTGTTTTGTGAACTCCTGCCGGTGAGCGAGCCAGCCAATCACAGCTCGGATCACCCTCAGAGGTTTCTGATTGGCCAAATCACATCTCACGTTTTTTTAGTGCCATGACAACTGGAAGGTTAGTGCCAGCTGCTACTAGCAAAAATGTTAGCATACGTAGCTCACCCACGCTTTTAGTTAGCATCGTTAGCAGCTCGTTAGAAGAGCGACCAATCGTAAACCTGTATTTAAACATTTATTTAGAAGATAATATATTCGGTCGTAGATGTTTCACATTAAAATAACACTTTAGAAACAGATTCTGCATTTATTAAATAAATATGGTCGACGTGAATCAGCTGACGAGCCGCTTCATCAATTAAAGATCTTTAGATTTTACTGAACGTATGAAATATGACGTTTACATGTTTCTCTTTAAAATAAAGAAATCAGCTCCTGTGAACATCGAATCTTCCAAAAAAGTATTAATTTTTATAAAAATGGTTTTCAAAAGTTTCAAAATAAAGGTGTTCAGAACGTCTTTTTTCCTGTTGGAGAACTCCTATTGGTCCGTGAGCCGGCCAATCAGAGCTCTGATGTTTCACAGAACATTAGATTGTAATTATGCGATCATGAAACCTGGAGACGCTTCTAAATGAACCCGTTTATATTTTGAGATCAGCTGTTTCCTGTTGCCGCCGTCGGCCTTAAACCCGACACCTGCTGCCTTAACGTGGCCGGCGAGCGTCCTGCTGACTCTAGAGGCCAGTCTTTGAACACGTCGGCGTGGAGGCGCCGCCGGTTTCACTTCAGGACAACTTGAAATCTCTCGTGTCTTTGTGTATCTGTGCGAGGAGCCAGCGACAGATCTGATGTCAGGAGGCATCTGATTGGCTCCTGATGTCAGATCTGATGTCTACAGATGTGATTTATTGTGATTATTGGTTTTGTTGTTTTTAAAGATTCACTCTGTGAGGTAGGCGGAGTTTACGAACCGGACCAATCAGGTTGCAGGGACAGATTTCAGTTACTGGACATTTTATAGCCGAAACTGTTGAGTGACGGTGAAGGAAAGCGTCTGTGTTGGACGTCCTGTCCGTGTGAATCTGATCGTCTCTGATGAAGAATGAAGTCGAGTCTTGATGTCTGAAGGAAACTGTTTTAGCAGAATAAATGTTTTAAATGTCACAAATGCTGTAATCGTTGAAAAAAACACAGAATAAAGTTTATGAAGAAACTCGACGTCTCTTCGCCTTCATAGAGGAAATTACAGGAAACTGATCTACGGAGGCCCTGAAGGGTCAGTGTGAGACAGGCTGAGCTGGATTATCATTATATATGTGTGTATATATATGGACAAACGTATTGGGACGCAGCTTGAAACCTGTTGTGTATAAATGAATTGCAACAGAAACTATTCAGGCTTACAGACGTTCTGTCGTTTCTAATCACTCAAATAACTCCTGTTGTTGTTATTAAAGTACAAGAGACACGAACTGCCGTTAATGTCCAGAAGCACAGACTGTTTTTATATCCAGACAGTGATCGGGAGAAAGCAGCGTGCCGGTGTGGATCAGGTCCACGAGCCTGCAGCTCTGCTTCATTTAACCAGACCAGGGACCAGCAGCCCACAGATCCCGGTGCAGGCCGTTTAATGAAAGAACATCAGGTAGATCAGCCAGCGGGAGTCACTGTTATTTAAAGAGACAGGAAACAAATAAAGACGAACATTTCCTTCCTTTGCTTTACACAGTCAGACTCAACAAACGCATAAAAACAGACACACATGTTCACAAACACACAGGGTTGTGTTGTAAATCATAAAACAGCTGAATGTCCAATAGGTAACGAAATAAAGAGCGTTCAGTTCTTTATTCTGTAAAGGAAGGAGTTTCTATCTTTCAGGAGGCGGATCTGACTGGACCTGATCCACATGTTAGGAACTCCTCAGATGGTGATCAGTAAATACATAGTAGTTTGATATTAACAGCTGTGTGGGGGATTGTTTTCATGCTCACTGCACTGAAAGGTTAATTATCTGAAGTCAAGTCCAAATATAAATAAAAACTACTGATATATTATTTTAAGTTTTATTGTATTTGATTCCTGAATCCAAGGAACAAGATTAGATTTCCAGTCCGGTCAGATTGTTGTGGGCAGCCGGGCGGAGATGCTGCTGCAGAGCGTCGTCTCCAGGCTGATCCAGTCACACCAGCTGCACTGACCTCCTGCTTTACTTAGACCTGAGTCAGGCTGACACCAGAGCTGGATCACGGTCCCGGTCCCGGTCCCTCCGACCTTCAGGAGGCAGCAATGAGACGAACACCTCCGGGCTCCCGGAAATGAAGAAGAAGAATAACTTCCGGGTGTTGGGCTGACAGGTGGATGTTGTTTTCTGCGGGTCAGATCAATCAGGGCCGGTTTTTCCTCCTGTGAACCGTTTCTCCTGTTATTTTACCGGGACGTGAATGTGTCCGGTTGGCTGACCTGTGATTTCCGTTAACCGGATCTCAGTGACGCTCCTCCCGCACCTTGTCCCAGCACCGACCCTCTGATGGCCTCCAGAAGGCCGGACAGCTTCGACGGGCTCGGCTACCGCGGCCGCGACGACCCGCTGTACGGAGCGAGCTACCCGGTCCGGAGCGCCGGAGGCCCCGCGGAGCTGCAGCATCACCACTGGGTCACCACGCCGCCGGACATCCCGGGCAGCCGCAACCTGCACCACGGAGAGCGGTCACCGCACATCGATGAGCCGCTGGGAGAGCCCGGAGCTCCAGGAGCTCCCGCAGCCGGATTTGACGCTCCGCAGCCGGGCGTACCGCCTGCCGGTAGGTCGGTGTGGAGGATAGTTAGCTGTCAGGCTAATGTTACAATGGAAAGTAAAGGGAAAAGGCTAACGGCTACTACTGTTTGTGACAGGCTGACAGATTAGCTGTCAGGCTAATGTTACAATGGAAAGTAAAGGGAAAAGGCTAGCGGCTACTACTGTTTGTGACAGGCTGACAGGTTAGCTGTCAGGCTAATGTTACAATGGAAAGTAAAGGGAAAAGGCTAACGGCTACTACTGTTTTTGACGGGCTGACAGGTTAGCTGTCAGGCTAATGTTACAATGGAAAGTAAAGGGAAAAGGCTAACGGCTACTACTGTTTGTGACAGGCTGACAGGTTAGCTGTCAGGCTAATGTTACAATGGAAAGTAAAGGGAAAAGGCTAACGGCTACTACTGTTTGTGACGGGCTGACAGGTTAGCTGTCAGGCTAATGTTACAATGGAAAGTAAAGGGAAAAGGCTAGCGGCTACTACTGTTTTTGACAGGCTGACAGGTTAGCTGTCAGGCTAATGTTACAATGGAAAGTAAAGGGAAAAGGCTAGCGGCTACTACTGTTTGTGACAGGCTGACAGGTTAGCTGTCAGGCTAATGTTACAATGGAAAGTAAAGGGAAAAGGCTAACGGCTACTACTGTTTGTGACAGGCTGACAGGTTAGCTATCAGGCTAATGTTACAATGGAAAGTAAAGGGAAAAGGCTAACGGCTACTACTGTTTGTGAACAAACCTCAAGATAAAAGTAGTTAGCAGCTAGCAGGCTAATCAACACTAAAAGAAATGCAGCATGCTAACCAGTCATTAGCTTGCAGGCTACATATAGAACATAAAGTAAACAGACAGACTGAGGTGTGTTTAGCTAACTGTTAGCTTACAAGCTAATGACCGAGCGGGAACTCGAACTAGCTTAGCATCATTAGCTGTTTTAAAATGACGGTGAGAACAAACTAACAAATTATTCTGTTTAGAGTCACAGGAAAGTAACAGGATCTTCTTCTTGTTACAGAGCAGCTGAATCGATTCGCAGGATTTGGAATCGGACTCGTCAGGTGGGAAATAATTTGTTATTAATATTGTTATTAAGATCATGATGACTTATTACAGACCACAGGACAGGTGGGCCCTGCAGGACAGGTGGGCGCTGTGGGACAGGTGAGGGACAGGTGGGCCCTGCAGGACAGGTGAGAGACAGGTGGGCGCCGTGGGACAAGTGAGGGACAGGTGGGCCCTGCAGGACAGGTGAGAGACAGGTGGGCGCTGTGGGACAGGTGGGCGCCGTGGGACAAGTGAGGGACAGGTGGGCCCTGCAGGACAGGTGAGAGACAGGTGGGCGCTGTGGGACAGGTGGGCGCTGTGGGACAGGTGAGAGACAGGTGGGCCCTGCAGGACAGGTGAGAGACAGGTGGGCGCTTTGGGACAGGTGGGCCCTGCAGGACAGGTGGGCCCTGCGGGACAAGTGAGGGACAGGTGGGCCCTGCGGGACAAGTGAACCCTGCAGGACAGGTGGGCCCTGCAGGACAAGTGAGGGACAGGTGGGCGCCGTGAGACAGGTGAGCCCTGCGGGACAGGTGGGCCTTGCAGGACAAGTGAGGGACAGGTGGGCGCCGTGAGACAGGTGAGCCCTGCGGGACAGGTGGGCCTTGCAGGACAGGTGAGGGACAGGTGGGCGCCGTGGGACAGGTGAGGGACAGGTGGGCGCCGTGGGACAGGTGAGGGACAGGTGGGCCCTGCGGGACAGGTGAGAGACAGGTGGGCGCTGCGGGACAGGTGGGCGCCGTGGGACAGGTGAGAGACAGGTGGGCGCCGTGGGACAGGTGAGAGACAGGTGGGCACCGTGGGACAGGTGAGAGACAGGTGGGCGCTGCGGGACGGGACAGGTGGGCGCTGCGGGACAGGTGAGGGACAGGTGGGCGCTGCGGGACAAGTGAGGGACAGGTGGGCGCTGCGGGACGGGACAGGTGGGCCCTGCGGGACAGGTGAGGGACAGGTGGGCGCCGTAGGACAGGTGAGAGACAGGTGGGCGCCGTAGGACAGGTGAGAGACAGGTGGGCGCCGTGGGACAGGTGAGAGACAGGTGGGCGCCGTGGGACAAGTGAGGGACAGGTGGGCCCTGCGGGACAGGTGGGCGCCGTGGGACAAGTGAGGGACAGGTGGGCGCTGCGGGACGGGACAGGTGGGCCCTGCGGGACAGGTGAGGGACAGGTGGGCGCCATAGGACAGGTGAGGGACAGGTGAGGGACAGGTGGGCGCCGTAGGACAGGTGAGAGACAGGTGGGCGCCGTGGGACAGGTGGGCGCCGTGGGACAAGTGAGGGACAGGTGGGCCCTGCGGGACAGGTGAGGGACAGGTGGGCGCTGCGGGACAGGTGAGAGACAGGTGGGCCCTGCAGGACAGGTGAGAGACAGGTGGGCGCTGTGGGACAGGTGAGAGACAGGTGGGCCCTGTGGGACAGGTGGGCGCTGTGGGACAAGTGAGGGACAGGTGTTGCTGCGGGACAGGTGGGCCCTGCAGGACAGGTGAGAGACAGGTGGGCCCTGTGGGACAAGTGGGCGCCGTGGGACAAGTGAGGGACAGGTGGGCGCTGCGGGACGGGACAGGTGGGTCCTGTGGGACAGGTGGGCGCCGTGGGACAGGTGAGGGACAGGTGGGCGCCGTGGGACAGGTGAGGGACAGGTGGGCCCTGCAGGACAGGTGAGGGACAGGTGGGTGCTGTGGGACAGATGGGGTACGTGGGACAGGTGTAACCTTTGTTCCTCTTCCTGTCCGCAGCCTGTTCACAGAGAACGTCCTGGCCCACCCCTGTATCGTCTTCCGCAGACAGTGTCAGGTATGAGCTCATAAACCTGAAACTGAACGAGAACACGTTTACGTCATGTGACCGTCCTGAGCTCGTGATACATTCTGATTTAACGTTCCGTTCCTCCTGCTTCTCTCTGATTGGCTGTTTGTCTCAGGTGAACTACCACGCCCGTTGTTACCACCTGACCCCATTCAGCGCCGTCGCCGTCATGTACGCCATCACCAAGGCCCAGGTAAGCATGCCTTTGTAAGATAAACAGCGTGATGTGCTTGGCGAGGAGCACGTGAATGAAACGGCGATCTGTGTGTCGTTCACCTCATTGTCAATAAAGTTTATCAGTGTCATACACCAGCTCAGGTAGGCGGGGCGTTAGTAATGTGGAACACAGCCGTACCGCACAACGTTAACGGGTCAGCGCCGCTCTCTCCTGACGAGTGCATCATCTGTGGCAGTAGCTCCTCCTCCGCTTCAAGAAATCAGATGTACGGTGACGTTCTTTCCATCGTCATCGGTGACACTTCCTGCTAAGAAGTAACGCCAGAGACACGAACAAGTTGGCGAGGCTGAGGGCGGTGGCGCTGAGGTTAGCGCAACAAGCAGATTGGCGTGCCAGCCGGTCACACTGTGGCGAGCCCTGATGGAACAGACGCTGAAGGTTACTGGTCAGTGAACGTTAAAACAAGCGTGTACGAGACGAGGACGTGTCTGTGTGTCAGCGCCGCTTTCATAGGCTAACGTTACGTGAATGGAAACATCAAACTAACGCACGTTACTGCAACTACGATACTGGGGACAGTGTGGGCGCTGTGGGGACACTGGGGACAGTGTGGGCGCTGTGGGGACAGTGTGGGCGCTGTGGGGACAGTGTGGGCGCTGTGGGGACACTGGGGACAGTGTGGGCGCTGTGGGGACACTGTGGGGACAGTGTGGGGACATGTCTCCATCACTTTGTTTAAAGCATTTGTTAAATATGTTCTGAAAATGGTTTGACACATAAATGTTGTTGCTTCAAATATCTTCTTGTTCTCGTGAACCCGACATTGTGAATCGTGCATGTGAGCTAAGTGTGTCGTCACACCGCTAATCTGAACCACTTTTCAACACAAAGTGACGTCTTGATTCATTTTCTCTTATCAGAGCACAAACAAAAAGCTACAGAGTTAAATATTAATGTGTTAAATAAAATTCATTCAGATTTTTCATTAAACGGCGGTGAAGTTGGTATTAAATCTCATCCTAGGCTTTAAAAAGGTCTTAAATCTAACTCTGAGGATCCTGGGGGGGCTGCCCTGGTCCGTGTTTCGGAGACGCAGTGGTGCCGGGAGCCGGTTGGCTCGTCTTGCAGAGCGTCGCTGGCTCAGAGGTTCATTTCAGTGTTACAGCTGCGAGACAGTGATTCATTAAGATGTTACACTGTGTGACGGAGAGAAAGTAGACCGGGTCCTGGGGTCCTGGGGTCCTGGTCTAAAGGCTCTGATCAGTGTCATAACGTGTCCTTCAGGGTCCCAAGGCTCTGTGGAAGGGGATGGGCAGCACCTTCATCGTCCACGGCATCACGCTGGGAGCCGAGGGCGTCATCAGCGAGATCACGCCGTTACACCGGTAACCACCAACCCTACCCACGCCACTTCAGTAGTATTGCAGTAGCAGTATTGATGCAGTATTGATGCAGTATTGATGCAGTATTGATGCAGTATTTCACGGTGTTTTCTGTCTGCAGGGAGCTTCCTCACAGGTGGAGCTGGAAACAGCTGGCTGGACATTTACTGCTCAAAGGGTCAGTAGTTCTTCTTCTTCTTCTTCCCATCACTGTGTGTTTAACCTGAAGTGTGTCTCTCTCTCTCTCTCTCTCGCCCGGCCGCAGGTTAACGGCTGCGGTGGCGCTCCCGTTTTACTGCGCCAGCCTCATCGAGACGGTCCAGGTGAGCAGCTCACCGATCGTTGATCAGTCTCTCACGTGTTGCTGAAGCTTTAATCACTCTGCGTGTTCACGTGTCCGCAGAGCGAGATCGTCCGAGACGAGGCGTCCTCCGGGCTGCTGGACTGCATCCGTGAAGGTCTGACCCGGTTGTTGGGCGTCGGCGCTCCTCACAGTCGCCGTCTGCTTCCTCTCAGCTCCCTACTGCTTCCCGCCGCGCTGCACGCCATCCTGCGGTACGCCATCGCCACCTCCGTCCAGCGTGCGGCGATGTGGCTGCACCAGCGGGGCAGGAAGCAGCGGGCGGACCCGTCCAACCCCCTGGACGCCTACTTCCCTGAGCTGGCGGCGGCGTGGGCGGGGTCTCTGGTGGCCGACGTCATGCTGTTTCCCCTGGAGACGGCGCTGCACCGCCTCAGCCTGCAGGGCACGCGCACCATCATCGACGCCACCGACGGCGTGGTCGCAGCAGGGAGCGGCCCGTTGGTCCTTCCCGTCAACACGCAGTATGACGGCTTCTCTGACTGCCTCCACGCCATCCGCCGCAAGGAGGGCGTGGCCGGGTTTTACCGCGGCTTCGGCGCGCTGGCCGCGCAGTACGCGCTGCACGGAGCGCTGCTGGCCGCCGCCAGGACTCTGCTGAGGCTGCTGCTGCTGGAGGGCGGGGCCAGATAGAGGCGTCACCATGAAGATGCGGCGTCACTTCCTGTTCCAGCATGAACTCATGAACCCGTGTTAAAAAATAAAAATGTTGTTTAAACACTGAAAGCTGATTGGTCGCCTGCAGTCCACGTGTCTCCCCAGCTTCACCACACAGTGAAACGTGGCCTCCTTCAGGACGTGGCGCCGCTTTTAATCTGTACAAAGCTGTAAAAATGAAAAAGCTTCTGTGGAATAAAGTAAAAGTAGATTTAAAATATGACCACGAATATTTAAATTCACGCCGGAGAGCGAAGTCGTCAGAGCTGCACCTGTTCTCGTGTTCTGTTCTGTAAATGTTGAAACTTTGTGTCCAAAAATAAAAACCTTTAAACTCAGACAAGTTTTTTTTTTCGTAAATTAAATTCAGTTTAACATCAAAGTGCTGCTCCAAGTGACGATCAGGGCTGAGCATCCAGACCGCTGTGAGAAACTGCTCCTGGATCAGCTGCCATCGTCCTCTAAGTCCAGGATTCATCAGGACCTGGGAGCAGCCGGCTGACCTGGGAGCAGCTGACCTGGGAGCAGCTGACCTGGGAGCAGCTGACCTGGGAGGGAGCAGCTGACCTGGGAGCAGCCGGCTGACCTGGGAGGGAGCAGCTGACCTGGGAGCAGCTGGCTGACCTGGGAGCAGCCGGCTGACCTGGGAGCAGCTGACCTGGGAGCAGCTGACCTGGGAGCAGCTGACCTGGGAGCAGCTGACCTGGGAGGGAGCAGCTGACCTGGGAGCAGCTGGCTGACCTGGGAGGGAGCAGCTGACCTGGGAGCAGCTGACCTGGGACAGTAAAGCAGACTCGGAGGGACCGTGGACGCTCCTCCAACGAACGCCGCCTGGCTCTGCCATCCCTTCACACAAAGCGACCTCAGTCCCTGTTCTCACCTACCGCACGCCATCAGAGCAGGGGCTCTCTGACTCCAAGAGGCTCCTGAAAACTCCAGAGAACACTTCCTGTGACATCACTTCCTGTGCTCTTCTTCTTCTGTCCCCTCAGCTCTCTGGTGTTATCTCTCGATGACGCCGTCCGAGCGAGCAGCATCTGTCGGCTCTAAGTGCGTTGATGCTTCTGGCTCGCAGACGAACGCCTCTTTGGATAAAAGCTCCTGCAGAATGTTAATGTCATATATTCATGAACCAGGGGCCGTCCGGTCGGCACTGAAGGGCCCCTGTGGCCATGATGCGCCCGGTGGTGTCATGGCGCTGTGATCCTCTCAGATAATCAACTGATTGATTCATTGTTTTAATAAAACGTCATAAAGATTCATAGAAGAAATGTTTATTTTATTCTTTGACTACTTTCTTCACTTTTAATCACATTTTATTGTTGTAAGTCCAGACTCTGGATTCTGGTCTGTCACTGTAAATATATTTATTACTGTTGGTTTTATTTCTCATTTTCTGTTTTAAATAGTTTTATTAAATATTATGAAATCATTAATTTAAACCGTGACTCATCCGTTCGTTTATCTTCACTTGTCTCTAACAGCAGGTCGGAGCAACATGCTGAGCGAAGGACGGATTTCTTCATAGCTTTAGACACTAAATGCTGAGTGGCGGGAAGTAATTAACGTCCTTAAAGCTGAACAATCACCAGCTGGAAATAAAAAGAACGTTTCTCAGATCAGAGCCGATCTGTAAATGAAAAAGGTTTGGAGGATGTTACCCTGCTGATGAGACATCAGTACAAACTGACATGAAAAGCACCCAGAAAGAAACATTTGGTTCTCAGCAGATTCATCTTTGACCACATTTATAAACACGTTTTTATAGAAGTCAAAGTAAAGAAAAGACATTTATTCATTCTTCTGTCCACGTGTTCCACGTTTCTATACTGTTGTGTAGAGTTTAGTAAGTCACTTGAGATTTCTGTCACTGTTTTGCAATGAAGCTACTTCATTATGCCGCAGGGAGGCAGCAGAGCGCTAACAGGGCCGAGACAGCCGGGCAAAGAAGAAGAAGGACGGCAGGTCGGAACCTTCCTGTCGGCGCTCGTTGTTTCCGGCCGGACTCAGTTCCTGTGCGGCCCCCATGTGTTGACTGTCCCGTGCGGCTCCGTGTCTCCGGTGTCGGTCAGCGGCTCGGTTCTCTCGTGTTCTCCGTCAGTCCTCGGCAGGTTCCGGACATGCCGACCGGCGGCGCTTCTCTGTTCTCCGGGTTCCGGGTTCTGGGGCTTTACTCCAACCACGTGCCGCACGCGCTCCGGTACCACCAGAAGCACCGGGAGTTCTACGTGGTGACGGCGGTCGGTCAGTGTTTCCACACGTACAACGTAAGAAGCTTTTTGTATTTAACCTGTTCAGTATTCACATTATTCATCAGCTCATTATAATAAATAATGATTATAATGAGCTGTTAAACCTGCAGCTCACACACACGGTTCACACCTGCTCACACACACGGTTCACACCTGCTCACACACACGGTTCACACCTGCTCACACACACGGTTCACTACACGTGTACTGTGTGGTGAGATGAGGCGTGGACTCACTGATCCAGACTACAGGATCACAGTAACGCTGGACTGGGGTCGGGTGGCACCAAGAAGAGGGAAACCGATCAGAACCCAGGGGCCCGAAGGCAACGCTGCAAAAGTTCCGGTACAGTTCCAAATACCTCGGGGTCCCACAGGCTAACGCAAACCCTGGGGGGTCCGCCACAGTCCAGTACCTCCACAGAATAAGGCCGGTCCTGAAGATGGGAAGAACAAGATCGGAGCCATCGACGCATACCTGCAGGTCCTCAGAGACCCGGACCCGACATCAAGACCAGGAAGCTCCTCACAGTGCAGGGAGGGTTTCAGCCCAGATCCAGCACCTTGAACGTGAAGCGGGGCGAGGGAGGCCGAGGGCTATGAGGGTCAAGACCGCGGGTCAGGGCTGGACAACCAAACAATAATTATCACAACGTAACAAATGTTTCCTGAATATTCAGTAAATGTTTGATGACTTCATGTTTTTAAGAGCTGAAAAGGCTTCTACTTATTTTAATTTGTTGACTGATTTGAATGTTCTCTTCGCTGTTCGTTCACTCATCAGGAGCGGAAATCTGCCTTCAAACTCGAAAGAAAGAACGATTTGGAAATAATGAAATTTTTATCGCGGTAACATTTTTGGCCGTATCGTCCGGCTCTTCCTCGGCTGCAGAACCTCGAGGATGAGGAGGATGCACGCCACCGACCGACAGAACCAGAGAGATCCTACCAGCCGCCGGACTACAGGACAGAAGCACTAAGCTTCAGCTTCCGATCAATAGAGACCGGGGTCGCCAGGCGGGGCCCCAGGTGCAGACAGGAGGCCCCGTCCACGCTACTGCGTTTTCAAATTAAAACGGAGACCTTCTGCTACGTCTGCTCCTCCCGTCCAGACTGCAGCGGCGAAGACGAAGACCTAAATCAAAACAGAAACCTGGGCGCCGCCCCCCTGCGGATCAGTAACCGTGCAACCGTTACAGATTCTGTTGGTACGATTATTGTCAGAGAAATAATCACGATTATTACGCATTAATTAATTTCACAACATTAATAATGACTTTTTAATATTTAATGACATTAACAATTATATTTCTACAATATGTCAGTGTTATTAATATTAACTTTTATCCCCGCGGGGAAAATGATTTTTGAGTGCTGTGTTAACTGAAATGCATTTCATTGGCAGCCTGTCAGCTGCTGATGTGTGTTAGTGTTTTACACCTGGCACCATTTTCACCAGACAGGAGACAACGTGATGAAACGTTAAATGTTGAGAGGACTACGTTCTGTCTCCCATAAAGGCCCTTTCAGAAAAGAAGCGACTTGAACTGCGTGTAAGTTCAACTAGTTTGACCGCGCCGTGCTCGCCGTGCGGTGCACGTTGCTCGACCCAGCAAGTCACTGAAAATAACGGGCCTCATAGCGTCGTTGCGGTGGGTCTGAAAGGTTACACCTGCCTCCTTTGTTTACGTTGAACTGAAAGCTCGACTCTTCCCGCTACGGCATCGATTGTAAGTGACACCTTTATATTTAAACAGAAACCTTTTAACAGCAAGTTTTTGAACAGGTGATCCGTCATCTTCAGTGGCGCCCCGCAGACTTGGTTTACCCGAAATGCTCCCACACTGCCGACTTCAGACGTTTCTTTGGTGGAACTAAAGCTTCACAGTTTGGCCCCTCTGCCAGAGTTTCGCCAGTGTACAACTTTAAACTGGTGCACTGCTCCTGTAACTTTATTTTCATTTTGTGCAAGTTGCCACAGTTTTGTTCCGTGCAACAGAAACACTCGGTGTAGCGGAGCCTTTTTACGATTAATTAACGTTTAACAGCAGTCGCTCTGTACCAGCAGTCGTCGCCCTGTACCAGCAGTCGTCGCCCTGTACCAGCAGTCGTCGCCCTGTACCAGCAGTCGTCGCCCTGTACCAGCAGTCGTCGCTCTGTACCAGCAGTCGTCGCCCTGTACCAGCAGTCGTCGCCCTGTACCAGCAGTCGCCCTGTACCAGCAGTCGTCGCTCTGTACCAGCAGTCGCCCTGTACCAGCAGTCGTCGCCCTGTACCAGCAGTCGTCGCCCTGTACCAGCAGTCGTCGCTCTGTACCAGCAGTCGTCGCTCTGTACCAGCAGTCGTCGGCCTGTAACAGCAGTCGTCGCTCTGTACCAGCAGTCGTCGGCAGTCGTCGGCCTGTACCAGCAGTCGTCGGCCTGTACCAGCAGTCGTCGGCCTGTACCAGCAGTCGTCGCTCTGTACCAGCAGTCGTCGGCCTGTACCAGCAGTCGTCGGCCTGTACCAGCAGTCGTCGGCCTGTACCAGCAGTCGTCGGCCTGTACCAGCAGTCGTCGGCCTGTACCAGCAGTCGTCGCCCTGTACCAGCAGTCGTCGCCCTGTACCAGCAGTCGTCGGCAGTCGTCGGCCTGTACCAGCAGTCGTCGGCAGTCGTCGGCCTGTACCAGCAGTCGTCGGCCTGTACCAGCAGTCGTCGCCCTGTACCAGCAGTCGTCGGCAGTCGTCGGCCTGTACCTGCAGTCGTCGGCCTGTACCAGCAGTCGTCGGCCTGTACCAGCAGTCGTCGGCCTGTACCAGCAGTCGTCGGCCTGTACCAGCAGTCGTCGCTCTGTACCAGCAGTCGTCGCCCTGTACCAGCAGTCGTCGGCAGTCGTCGGCCTGTACCAGCAGTCGTCGGCAGTCGTCGGCCTGTACCAGCAGTCGTCGGCCTGTACCAGCAGTCGTCGGCCTGTACCAGCAGTCGTCGGCCTGTACCAGCAGTCGTCGGCAGTCGTCGGCCTGTACCTGCAGTCGTCGGCCTGTACCAGCAGTCGTCGGCCTGTACCAGCAGTCGTCGGCCTGTACCAGCAGTCGTCGCCCTGTACC